GCTCCCCTCAGCGAACATATGAGCGCAGCATAATGAGTGTCTGTGTTGTTTTTGTGATGATCAGCGAGTGAAAAAGGGGATGATGGCCTTGGAGTGGCTGTAAATCACAAATCAGAGCAGAGGTGTGGACATTTCGGAGGTTTAGGCATGGAGCAGTAATAACTGTGCATTGGTATTTTGTTTTGTTGACAACATTTTTTCATTTTTTTCTGTACATACTCTAAATTCTCAAGTGCGAAGAACGCACTAATTTACATACAGCCTTGTGAAGTCGCCCCTCCTCCTGCTTTCTGTAATGGGCAATCTTTAATTCTCTTGGAGCACTGTAATTACTTGATTAAAAAATGACTGACGGTTTGTTTTCATGCCCTTCTCGATCATCAGTTCAGGATTTTATATGTGTGATGGGAGATGTTCCTATCTTATAGCACCAAATCACAACAACAGTCGCCTCAAGGCGCTTTATATTGTAAGATAAAGACCTCACAATAATGCAGCTTTTGTACTTGTGCTACCTGCTGGTGTAACCATGCTGGTCTGACTGACTACTAGTAGAAGCACAGCTTTGTTCCAATTGAAGTATGTCAGCAAATAATGGATGCACACAGCTAACAAACAACCTAACAGTCTTCTACTTAACATCTGTAAGTTAACACTGCAAATGTGTTGTTAAAGTTTAGCGGTTCTCCAAACCTTTCTGACACACCACGCTTCAAAAGCCAAAGAAAAATCACATCCCACACTTTTTTAATCAACCAATAATAATAAAACAGGAGCCAACCTGAGTTTGTGTTAAGTAACAGTCAGCAGAATAGTATCAGAAAATTCTTATCTGTTTAGTTTTACCAAGAAAATTCAACTCATTCAACTTACTTTTGCTTCGTGCTTTCCCCCTCCTTCTCCACCTGCAGTGGTTTGTCCCCCACCAGTATGAAGATCACTGGCATGTAGAAAAGCTATCCTCAAGTAAAGCTTTATATGAGGCTATAAACAGGTAGGGGCTTCTGTCTTCTCTGTCTCCTGCTGTAGACAGAACCCAGGTGCCTTATCTAATCTATTTGTTCAACATGGCAATGTAATACATACACATGCATGCTGGTGCTGAATCTGCAGGGCCCGAGTTCATGTGGGTTTTCTACTAGACCATCACATCAACACCCTGATATCTCCCCCAGGGTCAGCAACAACACACCTCCACACACAAAGGCACACATGCACACACCATACCAAATGTGGGTTTACTGAGAGAATGAGCTTGGCAGTGAAGCGCACGATCAGTCTGAGTCAATCCTAAACAATGATATGAGTTAGAAGCAGAGTAAAGGGCAAATAAATGAAAGCTCAAGTCAGCCAACAAGATTTATTCGTGTCAAATTTGGTACATGTGTCTTCAGAATTCACTTACAGGAAAAGGTCACAACACTTTTTGCTTAATTTTGCAAAGGTGTAATTCCAAACAAATGTCATGTAAGTAATGAAAACAATGTTGAATCTCTGCAAATATGTTAATGTAGACAGTTTTCTAACTTGAGGCTTCAGCCATTTGACTTAAATAAATAAACCTTTTAGGGCATATAAACTTTTTTCTGACTTGTTTCATCTTATATTTACGAGACATAAGAGGTTATGAGATCATTTCTGCAGAAATAATTCCTTCTGCCTTGCACAGCTTTCCAGTTGAAGGAAAAAAGTCTTGTTATTATTATTTATTTATTTTTACAAATAATAATGCTATAAGAGATAATCAGAGCTTCCAGCTTCACATCCTCACACCTGCCCATGTATCTGAGCATGTGGGGGGAAGTGAGGTATCACCTTAACTCTTAAACATAAACCAGAGCCTCCTGGAATGTAGCGCCATGAGAGGGATCGGATCTTATCAGTTTTGGGGGTTTTTTTTCTTAGTGATATGTTATTCCTCTTTGTTATACGTGTATTTGCGTCGGCGTAACATCACTTGAAGATTTAGTTTTTCTTGCATGTGCGTCACTGGTGATGTGAAACATCATTTCACATGTTTGCGCTCTGTGGCTGTTTTAGTTTCTGGTTGTTAAGGTGAGGGGAATCACTCCTGAGGCATGCACAGCTGCACCTCACCAGAAGTACTTGTCAGGAAAGAGACGACAGGAGCAGAAAATAGAAAGTTAAGCTGTCTGGCAGTCTGTGAGGTGTCAGCGATAGTTTATGTGAGTAGACTGTAGTAAAATACAAATTGTGAGGTACTTGTACATAAGTATTGCCATTTGAGTCTACTTAGTTCTTATACATCACATTTAAAGGGGAAACCACTTTACTCCAACACAAGAAGCTGACAGTTCAGAGTAGGATTAGTAAAGTAGGTTACCTAACTGCCACAATGACAACCACACAGGCTAATGCATTATTAAATATATCAGTTTGAGTAGAGTGTGTCTGGTTAATTATTGCTTTTGCTACTTTAATTTAATTTTACAGCATTTTATATTTTAAGATGAACATTTTGGATCTTATGTGTGCTTTGCTCAGCCAGAATACTACTATTATTGCATTGTGTTACTTAATTAATAATGTTACTTAATTTGTAACACTACATATTATATTACTTTTGCATTACCTAACATGGCCTATTCATATAATTACTTTTATCTTTTAAAAGATAAAGTTAAGGCTGCAGTTTCACACACTTGCACAAATTCCTGTCCTAATGAGCACCTATGCAACAGCTGCTTTTTAGTGTTTGAGTATGAACTCAAAGCCAACAGCAAAGCTGGAAACCATCCCAAAGTGCGTTTCACAGCATTTGCCATTAATTTTACTGCAAAAACAGAGGCTATGTTTGAACCTGACTCACTGCCTTTGTTACCTGATGAAGATCAGGCTCTGGCTGCTGGACTCGGGTCAGCATACACTCAGCTTCAACATCACTCTGGGATCTTCCTCACTAGATTTGTGTTAGCGTGCTCTCTTTATGGATGCTTGCCAAAAAAACAACAACCAACAAATAAACAAACAAACAAAAAACACAGTGTCCTGTTAACAGTGTATAGTTGTTTCTGCCCTGGATGCTGTTTGCACATTACCTATGCGAACTTGCTCTTTTCTTCAATAAAAAAATAAAAGTTTTGTCTGTTGTGGAGAATGCAGAGCATGAAAGCTCTGCAGAAGACTCGTTTGTAATTTGATCATATCTCAATTCCTTTTAGGTGAAATGATATTTAAATAATATAGCATTTTATGTTGTCCAGCAGTTGATTTAGTTTAATTGCTAGTGTGTGCCTGCTAGTACAGCTTTTTGTTACAGGAACACCCTGTCTGAGTAGGTAAGTCACAACTGGCACAACAACTTGTTATTAGCCCGCAGTCATGCACTGTATAAATACCTGCAGGTATTAATGTTTGCAAGGTACATTATCTAAATTCTGTTGATAGCGTACATGTTTACATGTTACAGTTACAAAATAACCCTTAGCTTTTTTGCTGTTAGCAATTTAGTGACGTGAATGCATCCTCAGCTCCTCTGGGATCACAAATAATAATTCAGCAGAGCAGAATTTAAATCTGGATTAACTGTCAGAAGGCCATGCTGCTTGTAGCTTCTTCTTGATTGTCTTCTATGGACAGACGGTTTGTGTCCACAGAAGACAATCAAGGAAAAGCCAAGTGGTCATTCCGGTTATATTTCTTTGAAGTCCACCTGGAGAGGATGCGCAGGTGGTGCATTCTAATATCAAGTCTTGGATTAGCTGGTCCACATTGTCATAAAACACTGGCAAGCACATGGACATCTGCATAGACCTCCATACTCTCTGACTCATGACGAAATTCATGTAACTTGATCCTCATCAGACTCACTGATGCAAAAAGTATAATTAAGGCTTAAATCTTCATAAAACTTAGAGAGATGCATTTAAATACACTGTTGTGATATCAAAAAGACTAGATAAAGATCTTGATGACTAGATAGGCTTTGTGTTATTCCAGTAATGTAATAATGTCTTGCTTGTGTGCCTGATGCCACATCCAGCTTTACGCGTGCTACAGATAAAGCTGGATAAGGTTGGAAATGATGCACCTTTGATCCAATTACTTTACCAGGAGCAGAGTGGTTGCAGTACAGTAAAATGTACGCAGTGTACGCTATCGAGCATGTTTTGATCTGAACTATCCAGTAAAGAGGAGTTGCTCAGCACCTAGCATTGTTGTTATAGCTGCCTCGTTGTAAACACTGAGACACCAGGTTAGAGTTACTCTTGGCTGATCCATGCTAAGCTTCTAGCTTGTTAAACTCTATTTAAAGTCTTCCCTCACACAGTGATAGCTCTAATTTAAGTGCGCACATAACAGTAGATAGTTAAGGAGTAGATAGGAGGAGAGTTGTTGGCTGGAGCATTTTGCACAGGGTGTATTTGCACAGCTGAGCGTAGCACTGACATAGCTAACATCACTGTCATAATTAGACCTGTATGCACAGTTCGGTGGCAGTGCAGGGTAGACCTCGGTATCTGTTTTTCAGGCTTCCTGTTCTGCTCTTTATTTTTTGCTTTGTCTTCTGTGTTTCCCCATGTCTCGCTTCCATGCATATGCCATGACTGACAGTGTTGGGTGGAATGTGAACATTCGGTTTTTAAATAGCATCCTGGCCTGAATCAGCCACTCCTAATAAGGCAGAGGGCCGTGACACTGGCCCTAAAATATCAGCAACCACCTCACTGAGAATAAAACTTTTCCGGGCCTTGTTATTTAGGGACAACTGATAATAGCTGTTGGATATGAGTGCAAACAAGGTACACTAGATATAGATTTCCCAGAGCTGTCATAAATATATTTCAGGCAACATAACATACTCTACTGAATGTAGCCTCGTGTTCGGGGTGTCTCTTGAACTGCAGGTAATTGTACTTTACAGTAATGGCAACTTAAGGTGAAGAACAGCTTTGAGGAAACCTTAATTTGTATTATGCACTATCAACGTTTGACACCAGGTTTTACAATTAACTTTCCTTTCATTTTCTTTTATTTAGGATACTGGTGGGAGCTCCAAGGGCGGCAGGGCAGGGTAAGTTGACGGGCAGTCGACCAGGAGCCCTGTTCAGGTGTCCGATCACACCAGAGGAGTACGACTGTGAGAGGGTTGACATCGATGGAGACGGTGGGTTTCAAGTGCAGCTGAAACAACTTGTCGGTTCATTTGTCAATTCATCAGCCAAACTATGACGTGACTTTTATTCTTGGTGTTTCACTTTGTTCTTTGTACTGTGAAATTAAACACTTCAACCAAAGACAAAACTTTAAACACATCAACTTGGGCTTTAAGACATCTAAATAACACCTGGACCTCCGTCGGTCAAAGAGAATTATCTTTATTATAAACTACATTATCCCAGGCAGAATATTAATGGTTTCTCTGACATCATGGAAATATATACTGTTACTGTATCATATTTATAAAGATACCTGCTTCATTTTTGTGAAGTGAGAAGTGAAATAACACTTCTAATAGGTGAAGTGAATAAATAACAAAGTTCTGTTTGCTTGTAACCAGAAAACAATACAATATGGAAGCCGTCATGACTGACAGTTCACTCTGTGTTCTCTTTCAGTGAGGTGGGACAGAGAGAGCAAGCACAACCAGTGGCTGGGAGTTACAGTCAAGAGTCAGGGCATTGGAGGGAAGGTTGTGGTGAGTACCAAATGCCCAAATTGGGTAAATTCACGTTGTGCTGATGATCAAGAGATATAAGAGCAGACATTGTGCATTTCCAGCTTTGGTTCATCTGCCAAGTTGTTGTTTATAATGATGAAGACTTTAAGACTACTTTGGTCATTACACTGTTGCATAGTATCATATTCTTTAAAAAAACATCAAAGGCTAACTGATATCCAGGAAACCCTAATGCGTTTTTCCCCCTTCACCAGACCTGCGCTCATCTATACGAACTGAGGCAACGTGTAAACCAGTCATCAGAGACTCGGGATCCCATTGGCCGTTGCTATGTCCTGAGTGAGGACCTGACTAATCGAGATGACCTGGACGGAGGAGAATGGAAGTTTTGTGAGGGTCGGCCACAGGGACACGAGCAGTTCGGTTTCTGTCAGCAGGGCCTGTCTGTCAGTTTCACCCCAGACAAAAACTTCATTCTGTTCGGTGCTCCAGGAACATACAACTGGAAAGGTAATGTGACCGACTGATAGAAGCCTTTATTTAGAGTTTCATGTTTTACTAATCGGAAGACCAGAGGAAAACCTGTGTAGTGTGATTTGGGATTGAATGTACTGCTCACAAAAATGCAGGCAAGGGGTGACGAAGGGCTGGAAATCATCTTTCAGATGGATCCCTTCTTGACATGCCCCGTTTCATTCATAAAGATGAATGCTAAGCAGAAGGAACTGGCAGTGGGGTTTTTTGTCTTTAGTATCTACTGATTCCTTCTCTTATGCCTTTCTGAGTGTTGGTCTATTACAGTGCAAAGACGATTTACCACGAATGTAAAAGAAATATGAGAAGAAACTCCTGTTGCAGCTAATGCATGCTAGAGAAGAAAAGCAATGCAATGAAACTGTCTAATTAAATAAGTACTACTAACAGGACAATCCAATTAATTTATAGGCCAGTCTATTGATTGAACACTGAAATTATGCAGCACAGCTTAATCCATTTAATATAAATGGTCTAAGATATATTGGATGCAAACATCAGTTTCTGGATGGTTCATATTTTAATAAAAGGCTGCTTTATGGAATAAAAGCTGAATTTACACAACGCCTGTTCTAAAATGTCTAAATTCTGTCACATGCTGGATTTGGGAAGCAACACGTGAGCATGCGTATCTATGACCTTGTCCCTGTTGTTTAAGATAATGTGCAAATCTGTGTTTGTCACCGTGTTGTGCCCTCACCTATTTCCTTTCCAGGCGAGATGCGTGTTCAGCTCCTAAACCAGACTCTGCTTGACCTCGGTATCTATGACGACGGACCTTATGAGGTGGCAGATGAAAAACAACTTAATGCCCAGCTCATCCCTGTGCCCTACCACAGTTACCTGGGTAGGATTTGCCCTCCCTGCTCACTGCTGCCTGCGCACAGGAGAGATAGAGAGGGCCGGGGGAGGATGACACCAGGACTTAGACTGTACCCCAACACGGCTGACTTAACCACAGGAATTAGCAACAGTAGCAACAAAACTGCCTCTGATTGGTTGAAGAAAATCTTGTAGTGTTCCTACTATTCCTGGACATGACTTTTAGCTCAGCAATTTATGACTCATGGAGCCCTGAACAGGACTCCACCTCATTTTTCCAGCCTTTGTTTGACTGTGGGTGGACATGTAGCCTGACAGGATCAGTCCTCATGTTGCTACTATTTGCTCACTTTCTTGGGAAAACAAGGGAAAATACTTGATGTCATCCTCATTCCAGCTACCGCCCACTGTTTGAAAATGCCAGTGGTGTACAGTCTGAGCCTGACGTGTCATCTCTCCACCAGGTACCCAGTGGTTTTGCAGGACAAACCACTGTAGCACCACACAGAAAGCAATCAATCACAACCTCTCACCTGCACCTCCCTCTCCCCTTTTCTTCCTCTTTCCACCCCCACCACCATTTCACCATTCCATCACACCCTCCCCACGCTCCTCTTTCTGCTTCTTTCTGTTTTCTCCTCCTGTTTTGGGCCATAGGGCTCTTGTTCATGGCTAGCCCCGTTGAAGATGCACTGCTGTACAAAACTCTGGAACCATCAAGGCGGCCCACATCGTTTGAGGATGTAGCTCATAATAGCTACCTAGGTTTGTAGGCTTGAGGTGCTGTCGTTTGGACCGGACTGGGCTTGTAGTGGACATAGTATCTTGTTTTTCTCCGTCTTTGTCTTAATCCTTTCTGATCAGTTACACAGTCTGTCTGTCTATATAGATTTTAGTGTGTAATCTATGTTAAAAAGAGACAGCCATCCAAAGTTATACTTCCTTTTTTATTTCATTTTTTAAATTTAATTAAATTTAATTTATATTTTTGGCACAGTTATATAGTTGCAGAAGAGATGGCCTTCTCTTTGGGTAGCAGGAGGTGTTTGTCTGTTGTTTGTCGATCTCTTTTGTTAGTTTGCATGTGTCTGTCCGGATGAAGCTTTCCAGGGTATCTTGGTGGTGGTTTCACTTTAAGTAGTTGCAGTTATACTAAACCGAATTGTTTTAAATGGTTTAACTAATATACAAGACGAGTCCACAGCTGTGCGAGGCTATACCGAGGCACATCATCAGCATGCTAACATATTTACAATCAGTGCTAAATTTTTTAACACGTTAATACGCTAACTTTTGCTAACAAGCATTGAACCCAACTGCAATTGAGGTGGGTGAGAATATTATATATATTTGTTATGTGTGGTATTTTTTCATTACTGACTATTGAAATCTGGATGATGGCCTGAGGGCTAATGGAGTTTTTGGCATCAATATGAATGGCTAGCAATTAAGTTTCATTAAGCTCTATTTAAAAGCAAAAATACCAGTGTAACAGCGGTGAAAGAGGAAAAGTAACTCTGGTTATCACAAATGTCTGTACAGCATTTCAAATATAATGGTAAGAGGCCTGTACTACGAAGACTTCTGCTTACCCCGGATGCTTCGGGGTTGTTGTTTGTACAACAAAAGTGGTTCACTTCTCACTGGGGTATATCAAAATGGTAATTCAGGCTGTGAAGCAGTTCCAGATTAGAGATCAACAGGTGCAAAATCACTGCTTATTGACCTGCCAGGTTACCAAGAAGGTTACCAGTTCTTGAAGATCCCTTAATCCTCTGTTTCTAAAGTTTTTTAATAGGTTCTAATGTCTTTGATGAGTATCAGTAAAAAATATTGATTCTTCGAAGTAACTTTAAACTCTTTTCCTGTTGGCTGCAAACACTTTTACAACACGTTTATTATTTTATAAGCATTAACTTATGAACCTAAAATAGGACACCTGTTTTTACTTTTGGGCTTAATTTGCACGTAGCCAAAGGGTTGAATGCCACTGGGGCAGCAGCTGAGAGATTAAAAGCTAAAACTGTCCTTTACATATTAATTTAATGAGATTCTTCATTGTAATCTATCAGATTCTTAATGAGAGTGTTGTGAAGTGATAAGTCTGTCGAGTTCCACCGTCAGCTTTTTTGCCAGCTTTTCTTCCAGGCTTCAAGTAGGCTAAACTTTATTAATATAGTCACTCCTTTCCCGTCTTACTGACCAATGCACTTAAAGCCCATACTTAAGTAAAACTGTATCACTCTACAGTGCTCCTCCCTTTTACACATACTCTTGCTGCTTTATCTGCAGCAGCTTTGTTGCCTTAAATCTGTATTACATGTTTGAACTTCATATTTTCATATAAGTACAGCTTCATTTCTCTTTGAAGAAAATCGAACGGGTCTACTGTGAATACATTTATCCATAATTATGATCAGTCAGATGCCGCTAACACCACCCTTTTCATGTGAATGTGCAGGCAAAATCCTGGTTTAGTTTAGCAAGTTGATACCTAGCTTCATGTGACTGCTTATCCTGATTGGATAAGTGAATGCCCTGGGTATGATGAACTCACTATGTAGTACAGGCCTAAGGTCAAATGAATCAATAGTGGTGCAGTGTCACACTGATATTTTCATTCAAACAATAGATTTTATCAAGATAATGATGTGATGCTTTGTGATGAATTTCTCAGTATTTAGTGTCAGTTGTTAGTGATCCACAGTCTGCTGAGCAGGAGCTATTCATTGTTATTTTGAGTTTCCGGTCATTATTTTTCCTCTAAGTGTGTGGATCTGCTATAAATCTCTTTATTCACATTCCTCCAATCCTGCTTACCCTCCTACTCACCGTATTGAGCCGTCTCCTTGACAACACTAATTCCCACATGACCTTTTTGCCTTCATTTATAACCCACGTGCTTCCATTGATCCTAACCAGATGATACGACACACCTATGCATGCTTACTAAAATGACAGAGACTGTTGTAGGAATTTGCAGCTTTTGTTGGATCTGAAATATCACTGTATTGTGTCCAATAGGAACAGTAAAAGTATTCATTTAAAGAAGTGACGGCCTGCTGAATGAAAAGAAAGCTTTGTTTTTATCTCCATCAAGGCCAAATCCAACATTACACATAGAATCTCTTCATTACAAGCTAAAGGGACTAATGCTGAGGCTGCACCCGAGTAGTTACCATAATTAGAAAAGTCAGCGTCGAAACAACGAGTACATAGAAGCATCAACATTTACAAATATCATCTTTGGCTCAGTTTTAGTCTAAAGAAGCTTTTAGACAAGAGATAAACTCTACTTAAAATGTATAGCCATGGAAAAAAGAGTTATGATAAATAAAATATAGCAAATACATCTTAAGATGAACATCACACATGACATAATACACCATGTGATTTATTTAACAAAAATTGTGCCAAATGCAGAAGTGGTATGTGTAAAAAATACTTACACTCATATTGCATCATACAGCAGTTAGTTATTGTAAATCAAAGGAGGTGTGAGCACCTTTATTTTATAGATAAAACAAAATAACATCCTTTATTGTCAGCTACTGTCTCTCTGGTCCAAAGGAGGAAAAATATAAACGTAAATGAAATAAAATGCGGATAATAAATTGTATATAGTAGGAGTAGGACACTAAGGAGTACATCATTGGAGACTAATCAATAGATACAACCTCGAGTATTTGCTGACTAAACCAATGGCTAGGACATATTTAGCAGGTAGGTAAGAGAATATTTAAAATAAAGAAATAAAAAATTAAATATCGGAAATTCCATTGTGCTCTCCAAATTGTCTCTTTTTTCTGTCTAACAGTCTAACTCAAATAAAAACTAAGCAATTTATTAAGATTAACATTGCAAGAATGTTTTTCCTTATCCTTTCATTCCTTAATTAGCTTTATAGTTTCTACCATGTTTCAAGCTTGTGAGCTAAAAGCCTGCGAGGAAAAAGTTGCAGCTTGTTCCCACATCTGCTGGTTTTATAGAAGCTGCAGTGCTGCATTCCCCACCTGCCACCCTGGAGCTGCTCACTGTTTGTCTCTGTCTCTTCTCCTTCTGCATGTTTACTCAGGACTAACAAATGTCCTTCATGTCCCGATGGAGACAGATTGTCCTCACTTTTTGCACCAGCTGCCTGCTTTTTAGTCTAGCATAGCGAGTGCATGTAGAAAATGCCTGCGTTCAGGAAAAATGTTTCATATGTTTTGTGTCATTTTTCACAGCTTGATCAGAAATATTCCGCACATGATGCAAACATCCTTCCTCCTCTATATACACGCTGAATTGCTTTACCTGATTTACATGCATGCGCATCCTCAAATTCCTCCACACACATGCAGATTATCTTTTCACAAAGCACACTCACAGAGAAGAGGAGATGCTTCAGGCGATAAATCTGCTTAATGTCCACCCACCATGTTTACACTCTGCCTTCACCATAGGCAACCAGTGCAGAGCTTTGGTATCATGAATCTCAGGAGACATTAGGCCAACGTCAATACATCTCATGTTACTATCACAACCAGCCTTTTTGCTTCCACTAGACACACAGCCTTTCACACGCAAGGCACACAGGACATTTACACCCATCATGAGTTAGGCACAAAATCAATAGTCACTTAAGGCCCACATTTCATTAGTAAGAAGATGAGCAGAACATGGCACACTCAGAGGAGGTGATCCTCTGAACCCCACGGTCGATATTAACCCATAGCACTTCCTTCTTTCCTTCCTCCTCTGCTTTTCTTTTCTTCCTCATCTTCTAGGGTTTTCTGTTGACTCTGCCATGGGAATAATGAGTCTCGGAGAGCTAACCTTCGTGGCCGGTGCTCCCCGAGCCAATCACACCGGGGCGGTGGTGCTGCTGAAGAAAGACAATGTGTACCGGTTGGTGCCACAGCACATCTTTTGGGGGGAGGAGCTGGCCTCTTCATTCGGATATTCAGTTGCCACCACAGATCTCAACAGTGATGGGTGAGCAAAGGCTAAATAGGAAGTCAGTCAGGATGACCATCACAAAATCATATAACCCATAGAAATCAGAATTAGAATCAGAATCAGAATACTTTATTAATCCCGAAGGAAATTAGGGTTACAGCAGGCAGCACGCTAATGGCGTATGCACACTTACAAAGGAACCTTCTGACCAACTTTACACAAACATCACATTGGGCAGACATGTCAGAGAATTAGGCTGATAGGAAAAAAACAACGAAAATACATAACATGAGGTAAGAGGAGGAGAAAAAAAAACTCCACTCAGACTGAGCTCCTAGTGGGAGAACAGTTTGATAACAGAAAAAACACCTCAGCACAAAAAGCACATGACCATCAATACACCATAGAAACACAAGACAAGCAACAGGGGCGGGTAAAGGGTAAGAGAAAGCCGGTGTAGACAGCGCATCCGGTCCTGCAGCATGTCTGCGCTGGTCCAGTCGACTGCCATCTTCCCCGGTGGGGCACAAGCATCGAAGGCGTTTGGAAAGGGAGGGGGGAACAGTCTAAACATAGTCGTTATCAGGGTGTTTTGTTCAGCTCCAGCCTTGAGGCCGCAACTGGTGCCGAAGGGGTCTCCGCATGAATTGCATTCAGAGACCAGTTTAGGTTTTAGAGACTGTGAGAGAGTGTTTTACAGGGAAAAGTAAGTAAAAACACAAGACAAGGACATAAGAAGCTAAGCAGGGAAGATAAGGAGAGGAGAAAAGTGCGACCGTCTTCGCTGAGACCCAAAAGAGAGAAAATGGGATTCACAGCCATGTTCTACACAAAAATGTCAAATTCATCTTAAAGTTATAAACACAAGATCATATTTTTTAACACCTAAATCCTGCAACAGCATTTTCCTGTGTAAAATGCATAAAATGCATATTCAAGGGCAACTGTGAATGTAGATTAGAAGAGACTTGTTCAAGGAAGTGTTCATTTCTACTTTTCCGCCTCTGTTTGCTAGCTGGACGGACCTGATTGTTGGAGCTCCTAACTTTTTTGACCGTAAAGCAGAGATTGGTGGAGCTGTTTATGTGTATCTAAACCCGTTTGGTCACTGGGATGATCAGGCTCGGCCCATCCGCCTCAACGGGACATACGACTCCATGTTTGGGATGACAGTCAGCAACGTTGGAGATCTGGACCAGGACGGATATGGAGGTACAAGAAAAACTTTTTTATTGACTCCGAATGTTTTAATCTTAAAAGGTAACTTCTGCTGTTTGATTCGCTGAATGGAAAACCCAACGACTGTGAGTGATGGTAAATATAAGTCACTGACTGGATGATGATGGTCATGTTTAATATGAGCATTCATCAGGATATAATAGATGTATAACAGAATATAAATATTAGAAAATAAGGGAAAACATAGAATACAATTAGTGTTCTTTAAATGGTTCCAGCAGTGAAACAGTTTGTGTTGAAAGTCTTCTGCTTGTCTGTATCAAACTGTGGTTTATGGTTTAAACCATTACAATAAGAATGTAGGGTTGGAAACCAGTTTGTCTGACATCTATACAGATATTGCTGTGGGAGCACCGTTTGATGGAGATGGAAAAGTTTTTATCTATAGAGGCTCAAAATCTGGAATTGAGACAAAACCTGCTCAGGTAAGTTTGCTTTGGATATGAGCGACTGCAAAAAAATATTAAAGGTCAAAATCAGAAGGAGTGAATGAGAGAAAGAGATGGCATGGATAAAACTGAGTGTTCTTCATCCCATTAGGTGCTGGATGGCCGGGACTTTGATGTGACACGTTTTGGATATTCTATCTCAGGGGGTTTGGATATCGACAACAATCACTACCCAGATGTGGCAGTGGGCTCGCTGAACGATTCAGTGGTTCTCTTCAGGTGAGGAAAGATTTTGGTTGAACACCTCCGAAAACATTTTGATGACAGTGCATTTATCTAAGGGACGAAAACATATTATCAATAATTTATTAAAAGTTTTCTTTTTTTGTCCTCAAGATCTCGTCCTGTCATCCATGTGAAGAGAGACATAACTATTGATCCTCCACAAATAGATTTGGAGCAGTCCAACTGCAAAGGCAGAGATGGAGTCTGGTACTCACTCATAATGCACTAAACTTATAGGATAACTTAACCAAACAAACTGATAATAAAAACATTTAAAGTTCTTCTATAGTCCTGAAGCTCCTAAAGCTCATGTCTTTTTCCCCCTTCGTGGTTTTCTGTTTTTAGTGTGGAGGTCAAGGCTTGCTTCACCTTCGTAGCGTACCCAACTCACTACTCTCCACACATTAGTAAGTCACACATCGGCTTTCACGACTGTTTCTGTCTTTTGCTCTCGCGGGGCTTTGCATCACTCCCCACAGTGACAGGAGTCATTTCTATTTACGGTAGAAAGTAACCTTATCTGTGAGGTAACATTAGATCTTATTATGATTAAATCACAGCTGTGTAATACTGTACCTCCTCAGATGGGTTTAGTATATCTTCTGTCCCCGGTGGGTTCTTTAAGTGCTCTTTCGGTGTGTGTGTCCTGACATTTCTGTATTTCAACCCATCTGTCTCCCTCTATGTGCTCCCCCATTTTACTCCATTCAAGCCCTCGTAGTGCGCTTTGAAGCAGACACAGAGCGCAGGAAGGCGGGCCTCCCGCATCGCGTTACCTTCCTGGGCCGCAGTTTACTGGAGCCGGAGTACACACAGACAGAAGAAGTGCAGCTAAATCGGCAGCGTCACGCTGTGTGCACCAACGCTGTCTTCCAGCTGCATGTCAGTAACTTAACTTCATGGATGCGTTTCTTTCTTTTACTGTGGAAGGCAGATTTGTATGGAGTATCCCAGTATGAAAAGGACGCTGAGTTGAATAGACATTTCTTTAATTAACTATTTCATTCTTTTCTGCTGTAACTTTGGCCAGAAGTTTAATTTTACATTTTCCCTCTGTGCAGGAGAACATCCGTGACAAACTGCGTCCCATCTCTTTGGTCATAACCCACACTATCAAGCCCGTGCCGCCACGCAGACACTCTGCAAAAAGGCTGGAGAAGCTGCCGCCGATACTCAATGTCTCCCCTTCCAATACGCTCCACTCTGAGGTCTGCAGCAAAATAGGAAAAGAAGTATTTTTAAGGATGATTTAATTTTTATGAGCTCCTGCTGCTCATAATTTACTACATAAACAAGCCAAAGCTTTATGTAATGCTTTCCATCAACATTGTGTTGCTTCATTAATTTAGACTCAGCAAGGATCATTTAAGCCAAATCTGTGACACATAAAATAAACTCAAAACAGAGCATTTAAACCTGTTCTTCTACTTGGGCTGCTTTTAAACTTTTTCAACTCAACGACCGGCTCCTCATTAAGCTTATCTCTTACTTACCTTTGCAACTGCATATACACCATTGCAGTATTTAGTGAACTGATAAATCATTTAAAGCATAAAATGAGTTGTCAGCGTTAATCAAATGATTGACCAATTTCTTTGGCATAAGATTATAAAAACCCACAAAAGTTTAAAACTATAAAAACTCTTGAATTCCTGATCTCAGCCTAATATTTGTCTTTTTTAATCCCTGAAGGTGAACTTTCTGCGAGAAGGATGCGGCAATGACAAAATCTGCCAGAGCAACCTGAAGCTAAGCTACCAGTTTGGTACTCGACCCCTGAACTCTGACCTCTTCATCCCTCTGCCAAAGTAAGTATCTGCTGTGCAGCCCGACACCCCAACAGTTTTTTGTTGTCTGACTGAGATGATAGTGATGATTAATGGCAAATCTTCAGGAAGCAGCATGGTATCATATCGAAATTGTTATTGTTTTAATTATTTATTATTAAATAAATAACAATAAATCTTACACAGAAGTAATGTTAAACTGAAAGGGTTCAAGCTTTTCTAACTAATCTCCCAAAAGCTCCTCTGTAGCTGTCACTGCAGATGAATGCATAGGCAAAGTGTCATATTGGAATGAAGAGTTTACAGTTTACAGGCCTACCACAAAAAATCTACAATTATGTTAAGATTGTTTTCTCAGCTTATTTCTGCTCAACCTTCAGACTATGTTGAAATGCCTCTCTTTAAAAATGTTTTGTCTTTTTTGCCTCCTTTGCCGTCTTACAGAGATGAGGACGATGTGCAGGTGTTTTCTCTCTCAGATCAGCGGCTGGTGGTGCTGGACATCACCGTCACTAACATGCCCTCTGACCCTCTTTACCCCGAGGAGGATGGCGATGATGCTCATGCTGCTCAGCTTATTATCTCCCTGCCAAACACACTGTCATACGCCGGCTCCAGGATCCCAGAGCAGGTGTGAGATCTGCTAAATATAGTCTCAGACTATCGTTTTAGAGTTGATGACGTGTTCCTCTGATAGTATTTGTCTGATCTGACTGCAGATGAGATGTCAAGCAAACCAGAATGGCTCCCAGGTTGAATGCGACCTGGGAAACCCCGTCAAACGAAACTCTAAAGTAAGACAAAACTGTGTGTTTATTGTTAAACCCAACAAAAGCAGCAAAAAAATATTTTAAAAAACTTTATTCTCATGTTTTTTCCCTCAGCTGAAATTTTCCATCAGTCTGAGCACAGCTAACATCACTATTGAGACCACCGAGCTGACAGCTGAGCTCTCACTGAAAACGTAAGTTTTCCACATTTTCCCTGATATGTGACAACAAAGATCACATTCTTACTTTTTATGTTTTGACTTTCATCTGATTTCTTTCATCGTTTTGTCCTCAGCATCAGCGAACAGCCTGACTTGGTCCCTGTGACAGCTTACGCTAAAGTTGTGATAGAGCTCCCTCTGTCTGTCAGTGGGTGAGTAACACCTTCAGTCTATTAAAAGAGTCTGTGGCAGTAAAGCTGCTTTATGTAGGTCTACTAAAACACCCTCACATGCTTTATGGTTGGTAAAATCATTTCATTCCACATTATCTGTCACATAAATTTGATCAGCTTGTTCCAACTCTTCGCTGAAGCTGTGTTTTTTCCACACTGAGGTTCAAGATTTAAAACCAGGACTTCATGTGTTTATGCCTGCACCATTATAACAAGTGGAAATATGCTCACTTTATACCTCTCTAACCAGAGAATGACCTTTGGAAGTGTGAAAATTTAAAATGAAACCACATGTATTTTAATAATATTTAGCTCATTTATTAAAGGTTTTTAAATTCAATTATGAATGCTTCGCTTTAAGACGCAGTCTTGCTCATCAATAAAAGTGGTTGAATAGTGAGGAAATAGACAGTGATGTAATGATAGTAATGTTAAGTTTTGTGTTTCCAGCCTTCTGACACACTGATGGTCACTGTACTTTCTGTATTAGGCGCGTCAATCCCGACAAGCTGTTCTTCAGCGGTGCAGTGAGGGGTGAGAGTGCTATGAGCAGTCTGGACGACATCGGCAGTGCTGTGGATTTTGAGTTTGTGGTAAGAAAAGAGTTTGTGGCTATCTGGGATGCTGTTTTGCCACCTACATGTAAAAAAAAGAAGAAAAAAAATATATTATAAGTATATTAAAATAGGTTTCAGTGGGGCCAATAACAAAAGCATGCTCCTTGGACTTGCTTTTACTGCACTGCAACTTCTTAATGTACCTTTAAAAACAAGAGAGAACTCACAATGAATATTTACAAAATACAATACTATCTCCTTAAAAGTAAATACTGCCCAGAGAGGTTTGCCTTCTCTCAGTCTGTCTTGTTTATTTGATCTTTTCATAATAGCAAAAAAAAGGACCCAAGACAGAAACGTCTATGAAAATACTTTTCCCCCCCCCCTCTGTCAGGTTGCTAATCCTGGTCAAGCTCTCCAGACACTTGGCTCTGCCTTCCTCAACATTATGTGGCCCTATGAGCTGGCCAATGAGAAATGGCTCCTGTATCCTGCCAGCTTGATGTTTCAAGGCCACCCGGAAACACAGTGCAGCCCTACATCAGCTCTGAATCCTCTGAAGCTACAGGGCTCCTCGCCTGCAGAGCCGGGCAGTCACGGGGTAGGCGGAGCAAGTCACTGCCGACTTTGAACTGGCTCATTTGTTTACACATACACACAAAAATATATATGTGCTGACTTTAACTAATTTGAGTACATGTTAATTTTTCATGATATATCATTACATACAGCATTACGTTTAATGGAATCTGGTCAAATGAAAGGTACTTGATTGGTATACAATTATTTTGTACTAGTCATGTTTCCCTGAATAAATAATAATAAATAATATTTCAGTTGCATTTTTTCTGAAAATTATTTTTAAAAATTTTTTCAGGGCAAACAATATTTTTGAAGAGCAATTTATTTCATTGGAAAAAGGCTCACAAGTCCATGTTTTAACAGCAAGTGACAGAAATAATAAGAATAGGATATGAGGACTCAGTCACTCAGTCCAGAAGTCAGTGCTGAATGACGTATGTTAGCAGTTCATTTAATCTTCTCTTTTTCTGTGTTTTACACTGTTTTAGGAGAGAAGTTAATGAAAAAAATCCTTTATAATATATTATATGCTGTCTCTTTGTATTTTGACAAAACCTTTTTGAACCTTTTGTTGAAACACGCATATAAATGCATCTATTTCAGCAGGTTGGGCGAAAACGCCGCTCCCACCCTGAGGAGGAAGGTCAGATCATGACTAAAGGCAGCGTGGGACAGACCACGCCTGCTGTGGCAGCTTCAGACAGACGCAAGTCGCTCAAACTGGTAAGAAGGACAAGAAGCAGAGAGCCAGGAAAAAGACCAGAACGTGGGTTATTGATTTCCTGCCAATGCACTCAAACAACTCAACAGTTTTAAAATGTGAACACGTAGTCCTCTTTCATTTCCACAGCAGTTTACATTCAGGTGTGACTTTGTTTTCTAGGATTGCCTGCTGGGGTCAGCGCGCTGTGTGCTGTTCCAGTGTCCTCTCCACAGCTTCTCCGGTCAGGCTGTGCTTAAAATCCACGCCAGACTGTGGAACAGCAGTTTCATAGAGGTAATATTACATCAGCACCTTTCTGAATATTACTCTCAAGCTGAGCTTCAGTCCAACTGTCACAGCTGCTGCAGCGAGCAGCAAGTGAGCGATAACTGCAGCAAACGCATTTACACAGTGACGACTGATGTCAGGAAGCTCGTATGTTACAGACGATGTCTGGCGACCAAGTCAAATGAACTTTCAATTTTCAATATTCACTGAGATCAAAGAGTAAGAATATGTGAATATGTTAGTTTGCTTTTCCATCAAACATCAATAAAATTGACTGGAAACTCTTTTTTAGTAGAAAATTATTTATAATTTTGAAATTGAATTTGTCATTAAATTTGCCTTGTTTGTATCTCCTCCTTGGGACGAGGAGGAGAACAAGAGGTCACAAGCCTGGATACATGATGTTTGCATCTGGACGGACTCCTTTAATCATGTAATGATCCCTTAGGAAATAAGGGATCAGTAAAGCGCCTAAAGGAAATAAAGTCTAGTTTGTTTTCTCTTTAAATCTCACTATTTCATAGTTTTGGCTCAAACACTAGTTTTATTAAACTGTGTGAATAGTTTATATGATGATTTAATTAGTGGAGCCAACATTATGTTGCTTTTGGCTAAAGTTTTAATGTTTCTCGGTGCAGTTTTCCTTGTTTTAAACACAAACTTGCTACTGGCTTTGTTTCTGTCTGTCTCTTAGGACTTCCCAGCAGTCAGTGCTCTGGAGCTGCTGGTCAGAGCCAACATCACTGTGAAGTCCAGCATCAAACATCTGGTCCTTAAGGATGCTGCTGCACTGGTACTTCACACACATTCATTTAAAAAATAAACATTTTTACTGTTAAGTTGCTGTTTGTGCATTGCTTCAAGCTTTGAGCGGAATATCTTTTCTTCCTTATCAGGTTTCAGTGATGATTTATCCCGAGCACGGTGTTACTGACCAGTACTGGATCCCCTGGTGGATCATCCTCATTGCCATCCTGGCAGGTGTCCTGCTGCTGGCACTGCTGGTCCTCATGCTATGGAAGGTAATCCATCAGATCTCAAATGGTCTGTCTTTACTTTTTCACTGTGTTTTTTGTCTTTTTATTCAACTGTAGGTCTTTATCATTAACGGTAGTGGAAAGATTAAAAAAAAATCAAACAGGAAAATAAGACAGGTTTACATAAAAATATTTATATAGTAATGTTTTATGTGAAAAGTGATGTCAAAGAAGAAAATAGAAGAAAATACATTAAAAATTGACAATTTACTTTTGGGTGGCAACCAGTGTTGGTCAAGTTACTTAAAAGTAATCAGTAACTAATTACTGATTACTTCCCCCAAAAAGTAATCCCGTTACTTTACTGATTACTCATTTTCAAAAGTAATTAATTACTTAGTTACTTAGTTACTTAGTTACGGTTTTAGTAACGCAGTAACGCAGCGTTCCTACGGGAAAGTAACGGTAATCTAATTACCGTTTTTGCAATAGCAATCCCTTACTTTACTCGTTACTTGAAAAAAGTAA